ATGGTGCTCTGTGGACTGGGTGGCATCTCTGCCCCCCCCCCCCCCCCCCCGACCCAGAAATGGATTAAGGGGAAGAAAATGGATGGATGGAGCTGCGAAGTGCTATCTCACAGCTGTTGGGATTTCTAATGAATGAATTGTAATGTATTCATGCCGAAAAACAAAATTATACATACTATATTAATTTGATGAGTTTGTCTTTTGAACATTTAGAATGTGGTGAAGTTAAAAACATAACATATTGAATGTTTTAAATTTGAATATGTCATTTAGAAATTTTTATCACATTGAAATGTGTAAACTGATTTTGTATTGAATGAAATGCAAAGACAAAAATAATGCAAACATGCTTTTTCAGGGTTAAACATTTCAAATGGAAAAATGTAAGCTAATTTAAGATCCTAGATCTGATGACAGAAAAAATCTTCCATTGTGGTGGTTATGTTTTACATTTTAGATAATGTCTCCTTTATTATAAACTTGAGAGTATTCATTTGAAAGCTCTGTTTAGATAAATTGTTAATATATCAAAAACATCATTATACTATACGATTATCATGTTTAGAAGTCTCATGTTGAAACGTGGAAATAAACTGCCCTCTAGTGTAAAGGATTTGTGCTGCAGGCTCCAGTACAGAACCAACTAAGACATTGGAGGATGTATTGCTCAACATGGAATTTTATATTATTGCACATTGTGATCATAATACGTCAACATTCTTTACACCTATTTATTACAAAGTATTACCCAACTCAGTTGGACAAACACATATCTACATCCTCGACTCACACCATGATTATATGTCACTTTCCCCCTGATTCTTTTGTTTATTCTTAAATCCCCACACACACTTACACATGACTGCATTAAAAAAAAGACTCTTATTTGTTATTTTGGTGGCATTCAGTTCAAAGTAATACATTGTGGTAACAAAGGTACAAATCAAATGATAGAAAAACTTGGTACTTTGATTGGACTATACTGTATACAGTAATGGAATACGCAACACAATACATTTGAAATCAGGTACTGTGAGAAATTATAAAGGCAAAGAGAAATTATAGAGAGAAATTATAAAGGCAAATAGAGTAAACCCAAAATGTCTTCACATCAACATAACAAGCTATAAACAGGAGACTGTTCTTCCATTAACAAATAAATTAGTCAAAACAAATGAATAGGTACAAACATAATGTAATGTTATACATCCAGCCGGGGCAAAGGAAGTGCTGAATCAATCTGTCAAACATCGAGTTTTAGCCTGTACTGCATTTTTCTACCACTAGAGGACACTCCAATACATCTCTAACGAAGTTGTTGTATGTTTTTTGCATTTTGTATATTTTTTTGTCTTTTGTATAAGCTTGGATAACATAATACTAGAAAATATGACAAATCAATATCATTAGCAGAGAAGTTGAATAACACACCATGAAGCAGTATCATAACGACAGTTAATGAAATGAAGTGAAGAAAATAATACAATCTAACAAATGTGTTCACAAATTATCAAACATATGTTCTTTCTACAATGGCAATACACAACAATATCTCCCTAACACAACCTGCTTGTGTTCTGTCCCAAAGAAGCACACAGGAATGCTGCAGTCAGCTCCTGATCCCACAATAATATAACAAAACAATCCACTGTCAGCCTGGGTTTCTTAAGGACATTCTAATACCCACAGCTTACATTTCTCTGCAGGGCAAGGTGAAAAAAAAAAATGAAAAAAAAAACTTCATCCTGACTTCATCTCACATGTTTCTCAGCAGCAGATCATGTGCTCGCTAAAGACTTAGCAACATAACGACTCGTGTTGCCAAAATATACAGTAAACTCTCCATTATGATTACCATCCACCAGATCAGTTATGCAACCAGCAGAACCTCACCAGCAAAGTCTCGTGTTTCAAAGATCAACACTTCAATTCAATTGTAAACCGCTTTGAGACTCAGATCTGCAATGAAAAGGCGGTATATAAATAAAAACTTACTTACTTACTTACTTACTTACACTGTCTTTCATCACATCTTACTACTCCAAAAACAAGGACACAGACATGTGCAAGTTTGTTGACTGTTCATAAATATCCAATCAAATCCAAAAAAGGTTCATGCTAATTTATAAGCACAGAAACTTAGTGAACTAGAATCTGCAACTTTATTTTGATTTGCTTTAGTGCTTTAACTTTTAGTTTGTTTTTTTATTATTGTAAATACAATACAATTGCACACAAAAAATGACTCAATTATAGGATAAAGAGTAAAATAAGTTCCATATGGAATTGAAAAAGACAGCTGAGTGCTACGTCATGCAGAGACACCAGACCTACAACCCACTGTTTACTGTTGTCAGTGTACAGGTAGTGGCAGAACCTGCTCAGACCAAACACTGCTGATTACCACTCACATCACTGTGGCTACTAGCAGGGTAAGTGTTATTCTAAATACCTACATAATATTTTAAACCTCCGTGTTTAAAATGTCTTTTTGTCTTGTTTCTTTCAGATGTTTGACTGTAAAGTGATAGATGATGTGCTTGAGAAATACTATCTGGCACCTTTTTACGCAGTTGAATTTTGTGTAGGGTTCTCAGGAAACGTATTAGTCATACTTGGATACATCTTTTGCTTGCCCAAATGGCAAAGCTGCAACATTTACCTGTTCAACATGGCCGTATCTGATCTTATTTTCCTGTGCACATTCCCACGACTCTCCCACCTCTACTCACATGACCAATCAGAAACCAGTCCTCACGCTTGTGTAATTAACCGCTATGTCTTGCATGTCAACCTCTATTCATCTATACTGTTTATGGTGTGGGTGAGCATGGATCGCTTCTTATTGATAAAACATCCAAGCAAGAATCATATCTTACTGAAGCCACGCGCAGCTCTCATGGTGACAGGACTGAGCTGGCTCATTGTCAATGCTGAAGTGGCACCAATGATCAGCCTGATGGTCCAGGATGTGAAGAGCCGGAACTCCAGTCTTTGTAAAGACTTTGCAAGTCTAAAAGGAGATATTGATAATTTAGCCTACAGTCTGGGGCTGACCATTTTTGGATATATTTTTCCTTTAGTTGGACTTTGCACATTCTCTTACAAGATTCATTTTCTTCTGCGTGTGCAAGAAAGGATGCTACCACACAGGAACACTCCCTACAAACGGCCCCTCAAAGTTGCCTCTTCCGCTACAGTGATCTTTTCTGTCCTTTATACTCCGTATCATGTGATGAGGAATGTCAGGATTGCCTCTCAAAAACCCTGGGCAAACCTGGAGCTCTGCACCAAAATGTACATAGAGGCAATGTACATTATAACTCGGCCCTTGGCATTTTTACACAGCGTAATAAACCCAATGTTCTACTTTCTCATGGGTGATAAGTTTAGGGACCTGCTACTTGCAAAGTTCCGGCTGTTGCTGAAAATAACAGAGCAGCAACAAGAACCAACATAATGCAGAAGATTCTTCCATTAAGAAAACTGTCAAGTGGTCAAGTGGACTGGATTCACTTCAGTCCTTACAACTTCACTGAAATGTTTCAAGGCAACTGAGTTAACTGAGGGACTACTGGACCAGGGGGCACTTGTTTGGTGTTTTCTCCATAAACAGAGATTAATTAACCAGAGCACACGCTTCATTTGGACCAAGAGCGAACGTGCCATAAAAGACTTGTGTTTACAACAGGCCTTGTCATAAGGCAGTGTTTGTTCATTTATATTGGCCACTTTCCTGGAAAGAGTCAGAAATCAAATGAAATACAAGTCATTCCTCTCAGTGTCAGTTTCACCAAATAACTATGAAAAGTACAAGTAAGGACATCTGCAAAGAAACACAATTACTATTATGTTAAGGTGCAATAGTGTGAAGGGGAAATACGCAGCCTAATTAAGACTATACTACGCAAGTTGGTTCAGAGAATCCAGTTATGTCATCAAGTATAATCTGAGTCATTTCAAATATTATATAAATCCATTTCACGTCACTGCTATTATGGACAAAACAAGAGGATTTAGTCCGAAGCACAACACCAGTTTACAATATGTAATATGTACATGTGCAGTCTACTCTTCCCCATCTTAGCCAAAGTGAGCAAACCTTTGGCTCTGTTCCACAAAGTTACTTAGCCTGTAATTACTTTTTATTAGTCTGGGATTAAAAAAAGCCCAGAGTAAACATGTGTAACAGCTGAGTGCTGCGTGGGGAAGATATACAAAACAAACAGAAGCATTTTAAAATACCAGTAACAGCATGAGATTGAGTTAAAATTGTAATTAAAAAATTATAGGCAATGGATGTGCTGAGTCACAAACATTAGCCTGAAAGCAAATACGTATCTGTCAAGCACTGACAGCAAACTTTTAAATGTAGTGGCAGAAGAAAGTAAAAACAAGTGTATATATTATATTGGGTTTGCTTCTCTTGACCAGGCTGCTATAGCGACAAACATCACCAAAATAAGATTTGTGATCACTTTATTTTACATAATTAACATTGGTCTGTTTTTCTTTTTAAATATTCATGAAGGTTTTTTTTTCTGTATTACAGTTGAGATGTAGTACTTGTACCAGAATGGTCCATGAAAATAAATCAAGTTTATTGTCAAAGGTTCAACAATAATGAATGACTATGTATGTGCCTATATAAATCATAAAAGTATTTGTGCAAACAGCAAGAACTTCAGTGCATTTTTCAACTAGAGGGTCAAGGCTATGTTACCTAAGTGTGGGAAGGATGTGATAGAATATATAATAAATAACAGATGTTGTTATTTCCCTCCGGTGTTTTGTCAAGAAACGAGTTATTACATTCAAGAGTCAAACACTATGTGGTCCGCTTTTGCTTTTCAAAAATGTACAAAGTTAGCTTAAATCACAGTAGCATATATGTTTTCGTACTTACACAATCCTCACCACCACCCAAAAGCATTTGTCTTGTGTAAAAAATAGCTTGTAAAATAAAATAAAATAAAAAAAAGATGAAAAAGTCTTTGCTTTTACAAGTTCATTTGTAACCATTTGACAAAATGATCAGTCATTAGATGTGCAATCTGGAAGTCAGTCGGCCACACAGTGAACATCATGGCTCCGTGAAATCCTGTTTCATAGTGTTGATGTGTCACGTCCACTCCCGCTGCGCGCAGACGACTGACGTACATGACCCCGTCGTCTCGCAGGACGTCAAACTCACAGGTCAGAACGTAGGTCTTTGGAAGAACACGCAGAGCACTGTCTGGAACCAACAAGGGCGACGCTCTGGGATCTGCAATCCAGCGCCAGTGTCCATTCTCGGGTACCGCTTTACCGTCTGCCTGCATCACCACCGGCTCACTGTAATTGTAATGTTTATGATACTTATCAGGTAAAAAAGCGCTCCAGTTGACAAACTTCAGGAGAGTGGAAGACTCAGGACTGTTATGCGTATTGGCCATCATAGCCTGGAACAGCCTTTTGTCAGTGGTAAAGTACTCGCTCCAGAAACGCACCATGAGGGTACGTGGCAAGAGGGGCATGTCCTGGTTCTGCTGGTATGATGGAGTGTTGAGGTCCAGGGCCTGCATCACGGGATACAGGAGACCTTGGGCCTTGAAGTGAACCTGTTGCTCTGGATCATTCAGCAACTATAGGGAAAAAAAATACATGTAATTCAACTCTAAATTAAGTCAAGTTTTTGAAGCTGCATGTCTAGTTATAGTCACATCTTTATCATTTACAAAGGGTTAAACAACTAGGAGTGGTCAAGTGCTTTAACTCCACGGAGTGGTGTTCAAGTCGTACAAGCAAAGTCCTTTTTAATCTACTGATACCATGGTCACTTGACCAGAGCACACGCTTCATTTGGACCAAGAGCGAACGTGCCATAAAAGACTTGTGTTACAGGCTTTGTCATAAGGCAGTGTTTAACCAAAGTCCTTTTTAATCTACTGATACCATGGTCACTTGACTCACACACTCAAAACTGACAATTATGAATATTGACAATGAATGAATCAGGTGGGGAACATAAGATGTGGGAGTCCTGTAAATATCACAAATATCCCAACAAAATAAACAATGAATAAAAACATATAAAGCACAGATGTATCCAATTGCATTGAATGTGCATGTGAACACTATCTTCTCGCCACATTATTGATAATTAGCAATACACCACCTTTGTTAGAGGACCTCTGATGTCTACGGCCGTATCATAATAAAGCATTATTAGCTTTTTATACTTGTCTTAAAAGAATAAAACAAAAACTCCTAAGTGTCCGTTTTCCTTTGTCAATCCTCCTGCTATAGTACAATTTTTTTTCTTATAAGCGATGCCTTTAGCAATGTCAGTTTATAAAGCCAAAAAAAAAAAAAAGACTGCTAATGCTATCGAGATGATAAGTACACAAAATATGGTGGACTGTTGTACAATTATTAGACATAGTGAATACCTGCTGCGTGACTGCAGCTGCCAGGTTTCCTCCTGCACTGTCCCCAGACACTGCGATACGTCCTGGGTGCACAGAATACAGAGCCAGCACCTCCTCCTGGAGGAAATGCTTGACAACACGGTACACATCCTCATATGGGACAGGGAAGTGGTTTGGAGGAGCAAGACGGTAGCTGGGAAAATAATGCATTTGTAAAACTATAGTTTAGGAATTGTGATGTTGATATAATGGTTGTTGTTGTTTTTTTGGATTGTAGTACAACTCTAGGATACACTAGTAGTGCATAGTTTATGCTCATTGGCTACAATAGCAGCAGGTAAAAACAATAACACAATCAGGACGTTTTCACACAGCCACTCGTTAGATACAAAAACAACATAACAGCCGCATTATAGGAAAAAGTAAACAGTCTGGGCATTATTGGCCAAAGTGTAGTTTGAAGACTTAAAATGCTCATCAATGTTACTAAGCTGAAACTACCATGTCCCTGAAAAGGTCCATTTAAAGGGCAAGTAAAGGATCTTTTTTTTTTCATTGAACAGTCCCCGCGCTTCTTCACTGCTGTGCATGTCTCTGAGATGACTGACAGCTGCCTCAGCATTCATCCCCAATGTCGCTCTGAAGACATAAGTGAATTATAAAGTGGCCATATATGGAAGAGCTCCTTGGAAGAGCGAAAGAAAGAAGCAAAGGGAAGAGATAGTGTGGCCAGCAAAGACAATTGCAGGCTCTCTCTGGATTCTCATGGATTCTGACACCTCCACACGCAATAAAAGCTCAAAGGTTCATTGTAGATTTATGTGAATTACTTAATTAATAAACAGGTTAAATACAAACTAAGCTAATCTGTTTGTATAGTTAATTTGTGTGTGTGGTTCACCGGTACGTGTGGCATTTGTTGAATAAAAGGACCTCCGCATTTACCTGCATGCCTTTGTGTGATCGCTTGGGAGCCCGTTGTCATGGAGATAAGTTAGGCAGTCATCTGATCTCTACTCATATGTGTTCTACTGCAATATTTGTGTGATAAAAGCGCTGTATGAGAACAGAACTGAAACAAGAGAGAAGTCAATCTAGTGCGCACTCGAGCCCAATCCGGAAGCAGCAACGCGTGAAAACGTCCTTAGGTAATCCCATATGTGTTTAAAAGAGTATCAATCTAAAATGCAGCTATTAAAATGTTTGTTAATCATATCTTTGTGCACTGTACAGGTTATTGAAATGTGTTCGAAAAATACTTACTCCACAGAGAGAACAACAGCATTCAAATCCATTACGATTTTCCTGGCCAAGAGGTCATAAGGGCTCATTCCTAGAAAATAACATAATGTATGTTTACACCAGGTATTTGTATTGAATTATGACTTTAACCCATGGCATTTGATAAAAAAGAATAGGCAATATGACTCACTAGGACTGCCGAGACACCAGCCTCCACCATGCAGGTAAACCATGGCTGTTCTGAGATCACTGCCGTCTGTTTTCTGCTGTGGCTGATACACAAGTACTTCCACTCCTGCAAACGACTCCTCCATCACAAGGACGTGTTCATCTGACAATGGAACTACTTTCTCAATCAGAGTAATCAGATACATCACACCCATATAATGCTGAAGCCCGATTAATTCACTGAAGTCAGCCTGCACACAGAAAATAAGACAACATTATTAGACTGATAAAAACTGACAATCACTTTTATTGATTAAAAAGGGTATTTAACCCATGAAATTCTACTCTATATATACTGAAAAATATTAAACTATATCAGTCCACCAAATGTCAATTTGTTTAACTATTTAATACAGAATTATTTTTATCAATGTACTTTTGTCTATTTGGATGTGGATCAATAACTGCCAATAAAATAGGTTAAAATTATATACTCTTAAATCATATGCATTACATATTAGTTTGAATTATTAATACTGAAAAAACAATCACAAGGATTGGATGTATTAGGGCTATTATTAGCATGACTGAACAAGACTATACATCTGATGGATTAGTATCTGACATAATCTGTTGTCACCACCTCATCAGCAAAATAAACTGTTTATGCTATGTATGCTATATATGCACATAGATCTATGACCATTAGGTCTCAGGCTTTGGCATAATACAGATACTGTGTTCACATTCTTTACCTATGTCTTCTACAATTTCTAAGACTTACCACATGGCTGAGAGTCCGGAAGAAAGAGTTGGTGAGCATAAGTTTCCATTTCTGTTCCATCTCTTCAGGTAGAGGTTCATAAATGTAATAAGCAGAAAATGAGCAGAGAGAAACAAACAGGATAATACTTCTCCACTTCATTGTAAAGGTGCGTTATCCACAGTTGACAGCTGGCTGCAAACTGCAGGAGTCTGGATCTGCTGTTTAATTTAGAACGGGTCTATGGCAAGAGATGCATGCCAAAAGTGCAAATTCAGAATTCTCCAAGCGTGTGTACACTGTCCTCTGCACCACTAGATGTGATATTCTGCTTGCTTGAGAAACACTTTTAGCCATTGGGGGCGGCACCCAACGGGCTGAGCACACTGTGATTGGTCACTATTCAGGAATTGCCACTCTAGACCACTATGCTGTTGAGTGAGGAGCTAGACAAGTGATTCCATCATATAATGAAAAAACATACATGTATGCATTCAAATTCTGATAATTAATTAAAATTATATATTAAATAATTATCAAACAAAATGAAAAAAACAGTCAAAATTGCCATCTAACTTTCGTGGACGAGCAGCAAGGGTGTGCAGAGGCACAGAGCTTGTTTGTTTTAAGATTAAGATAAAGAGGTTTTGTTTGTCCCATAGAGGGGAAATTTCAGTGTTGCATCACTTACAGGTTACAGGACAGTAGGAAAGAGGGCCACACAACACAAGATAAATTAAAAATTACTCTATACTATAATTGAATAAAATAAACTCTAACTAGTTAATCCAACTATAAAATGCAACGTTAGAATAATAAGGAAGCAATAATTAAGTGTAAAACTGATCATAAAGAAGTAAATAAAGAAGTAAGTAATAAAAACGTATGAAATACTGTATATTCTAGAAATATATAGCACGTATACATCTTCTATATTGCACATTATGACATTATTCAAATAATTATTGCACAGATGAGTAAAGTAAAGTGACATGTGGTTTCATATTGCACATTCTGACATAGTTAAAATTATCGCACAGATGCACACCATGTGAGGTCAGATCGGCAAGTGTTTGTTTGTCCTCATTTTACAAGTAACTGTTCCAAAATATTGTGAAAAGAGACTTATTTGACACAATGCGTTTTGCAAATGTGATAAGATTCTCTTGAAAGTGCATATTTATTACCGCAAGATCATTTGAAAGGTCGCTATTCAGAAATATCCTGATTCACAAACATTGTTTTGCATTATTTTCTTTTTGACTTGGACAGTACATGTCAATGAACATAATATGATTGAACATTGTAAGGGATGACTCCTCCGTCACAATGGGCCATGTGCACGGGGAGGCGTGATTTAATTTCCTGTTACCAAAGAACAGCCCGTTCACTTCCTGTCCATGCTATCCTATGGCTTTTAGGTGGGTTTTAGTGACGTTTAGAGACTGACCCAAAAGTGTCCACGTGCTTTCTCTCTGAGGAACAGCTTTGACTGTGGCCACTCAGAGAGATTAGTTAACTTTATAAAAGCCCAATGACAGCACAATCAAAAAGCACTGCTGTGTCCAAAAATGCCCAGTATCCTCACAGTTTGATTCCCGTTTGAGCATTATTTAGGAAACTTGTGTAAATATCTGCTGAACTCCAGTGAAACTCAAGCCGTTCCCCGCGCACAGGAAGTCAAGTGGGGTTATAACTAAAACGAGGAAGTGATGCGTGCATAGAGCCTGTCACTCCCGTATTCGTCCCGGAAACCGGATTCGTCCGGAAGTTCAGATTGATCCAATGATCATACGCAGCAGTAGATTACGTCACGGAATCTGGACGGAAGCGGAAGTAAATATAAAAAACTACCTATTCATGCCTAAACTTAACCAGCCATTCCCATAAAATAACCCCAACCCAGCCTTAACCCTAATAATCAGACGCCTAAACTTAACCAGTCTCCATTTAAGGACATATTAAACTTTTTGACATGCGCAAACTGAACTTCTGGACGAATCCGGTTTCCGGGACGAATACGGGAGTGACAGAGCCCATTGGGGCTCACTCTCCTGTGGGCTGACTCCACCTACACCCACTCCACCTGGGGGTGTTACCTCTAGGCTCCACCCTATGGCCTTAACCATGGCAGGTTCAGAAGAGGGGATGTTTAGGAGATTCATTTGAGTTTATATTGTTTAAGTATATATGATTATAACTTTATATTATTATTATTATTATCATCCATCCATCCATCCATCCATTTTCTTCCCCTTAATCCATTTCTGGGTAGGGGGGGTGGCCAGAGATGCCACCCAGTCCACACAGCACCAGCCCCTCACTGATCCTCCTGCAGGTGGTGAGTCCACAGGAGCTGAGATCTTTCAGCGGGAGCTTCAGGCAAAGTGGGGTTAAGTGTCTTGCCCAAGGACACAACGACAGCAGTCATCAGTGGGAGTCGTGATGTAGGTCTTGCGGTGGGCTTGAACCCACAACCTTCAGGCTCAAAGGCCAATGCTCTACCAACTGAGCTACTGTCGCTTGTGTATTATTATCATTGGTACAGTTATTTACCTTTATCCTTAAACTAGTTTAAGTAAATGTATTTGTTTTGTGTAGTCTTGTTTACCCCCCTTTAGTTGATAGTTGGTCTGATGACCCAGCATAAATGTTCCCCTTGGGTGTCTTGTGTTAGGCCAGTGTTTGTCATGTGAAGCTGCTCTTTTGTTTTTGGCCTCATTTATTTGTATTGTTTAACACCTTTTTTTGGCTAATTAAGAGACCCTGTTATTCAAACAGTTTGTGTGTTTCCTGCTGCCCCATCGGTCCCTTACAAACAAATTGTAGACACGCCAGATTGCAGTCAAAGGCTAATGGTGTTTTTTATAATAATAATCTAAAAGGATAACTAATCACCAAATCATCTTTTTTTTACTCATAAACTGCATAAATATATTTCTTATAATGCTCTCTACATGTCCTGGTCATTCTTTTGACATTTTAGTGCAAAATAGATACAATCTCACTTTTGAGCCTAAAACCGTCTGTGGGGCGCCCTCTCTACATTTTTGTGGCACAACATTTGAATTTGGTTCCTGGCCTCTCCATTGGCTCTGGATTGCAAAGTGATATTGGTTGGTACAGGCCCTGTCCACACGAAGTCAAGCTCAGGCCTAAACGCAAAAATACTTTGTCAATCCAGTGTATCGTCCATACGAGGCCGGCGTTTTGGGGGGGTGTAAACGAACATTTTTGAAACTAGGTCCCAGAGTGGAAAGATTTCAAAACTCCGTATATGCCGCTCCGTGGTTACTGCCTCTCCGCAATGTATCTGAGACGCTTGCGTCATCGCCCCACCTCTTGTTAAAGCACGCATGCGCCGCACTCAGAAAATAATGACAACAACAATGTAGCTTGTTGGTTTTGTAATCCAGTGTGACCCGAAGCAACAGTTCAACCTCATCGTCCGTCCATACTAATGTAGTACCAGCTCGCCCACTCGCCATGTTGTCTGTTTACAAAATTCCGCGTATGCCCACGGAAGTTTGGGCTTGATCCCGTCATTGCGTCACAGCGCCACCAACAGGTCTGGCATAGTTTCACAGCGTTTTCAGGCGTATTGACTACATTCATATGGACGCACACATTTACTGAGCTAACTCCGTGTTTACAGAAAAAGTTTCTGAAATTATAAGCGTTTTGTCTTCGTGTGGATATAGCCACAGTCTGACGTGTCTCTCTGCACCTGTGGTATAAAAGCACCCAAGTCTCACAAACGCCCCGTAGCAAGTTGGAATGTTCTGGTGACATCTAGTGGTTTAAAATTAAATTACATCAGTTGACCGCCACTACTATTGAGATAATTCTGTAGCTTAGGTTCAGCTGTCTTGCTATACAATTATCTTAGTGTGTAAACAAAAGTGGAATGAGAAACGTGGTGTCTAAACTATTGCTTTAAGACAGCAATAACAACTGTCTGATTTTTTTGAGTGGGCTTTGATTGACAAGCGAGCTATCAATCACAGCCCAGACCACGCCCAACACTAAGCCCGCCTTCTTGTTCTCCAGGCAACGCCCTTTTAAGAGAGAATTTTCAAATGTTCATGAGGGCGGAGTAAGGCTGGGCACAGGTGTTTGGTTTTCCTTTAAAGGATCCATTTTCATCTATTACAATTACTCAAAATCGCTCAGGATGGAAACATGTACCAAAGATAAAAACTTTATCATACATGGGCAGAACTGTCTGTTCATCCGGTGTTCAAAGAAGACATGCATCATTAGGCCAAAGTACACATAACAGACCAGGCTGGGGCCCGGTCCAACCACTGGGTTCTGTGGCTGCAGCTCATTTTTATATCTATAGACGCTATTGTTTTCTGTACTTGGTTAAAGTTCTGTTTGCACGATTACAGTGTTTCTGTTTATTGTTGTAGTGTGTGTATTTAGTGTAGTGTGGTGTGAGTGGGGGGTTGGAATCGAATAAGCGTAAGCTTCCTTCATCCCCTTTTCAAGTTACATGATTGTGAATTGTAATAGACTGTGTATGTTATTTTTTCCTTACTTGAAATAAATAAATAAACAAACTAACAAGCAGTTATTTTTTGTGAAATAAATAATGGTTACTTTTTGGACCACTCTTTCCCATCTCTGTTCTCCACCTGAAACATCATGTTATCAAGCCATTGTTCTAGACTCCACCACCACCTAAGGCTCCAAACAGTTTTTCTTGTTCCGAAAAAGTGTTCCGATTGTTCGCTTTTCAGATCTTTCTACTGCTGTTTTAATTTTGGGCTATACAAAAATAGAAATTGGGAGTGTCTTAAATTGAGTGTAAAAAAGGGTATGTGTAATTGTACAACAGCATAAAATCTGCAGTGGCACCGAATATTACAGTGGCATTTAGCACTCCAATATTCTGTGAGCGTACATCTTTACAGCACTTTGTCTCGTCTGCTCTCCCAAGAGTTTCAGTTAGAGATCCTTTTTTTTTCAGTAAACGAGAGAAGTAAGATGTAATTTGTTTTTGTTTTTTTGGAGTTTCAACATAAAACTGATGCCATACCAGCTCCACAAGAGTTACAATTCAAAGCTTCAAAGCT